AACTGGTGTAAAAGCTATTATAATAGAGTTGTAAAATCAAAAACTTCGCTAGCGGTTTGACGTTTGCCGTAAACGTCAATCTTAAGGTCTCTATTATACATGTGCGACGCAAAGTAAGGCAATTTACATAATCAAACATGCCGAAATAGCGAAGTAAAGGAGCAAAAATATAAAAACGAGTTACTCTATACTTTTACCAATGCGACAATAAAAGTTTTGGCGTTACAGACACTTTTAATTAAATACAACATAAATGCGCTGCTAATTGCATAATCATAATGAATGCAGGCGCTTAATATTAAATGGTGTGAATAATGCATGCAGGCTGCATGTACTAGCTGCGCCACAGATGGGATTCTATTAAAAAATATCACGTGAATCATCTTTTACCAAAAAAGCCGACATCGTCTCTCGTCAGCATCACTCATTCACGGCAATCGTGCAATTACAATTACCCTCCTGGAATTCAGTGAAATCTTATATTCTCGGTGTCCTGGCGTTTCGGATATCATCGGGTGAAAACGCGATGCAAATATAGATATTAGTGACATTTAGTATAGTAGCTTGTAGGAAGTTGATCTCCCAACATGTTTATTAGCAACTCTACATTCCTTCTTTTGACAATTTTAGAGGATATCAAATTTGTTAAAAAACCAACAAGCAACCACAATATCACCAAAGGCTCGTCATTCTCCTTATACTGCAAGGTCGAGTCGTCTCGGCAAGTCAAATACAAATGGAGACTAAATGGTCGTGATTTAAAATACGATGACAATCACAATTGGTTTGAAACCGTGAACAGATTGCTCATTCAAAATGTAAACGTAGGTATATTTGTTACTTTTGTAGCGTAAAGTACATGTACTTAACACGTTCGCTCGGGTTGAAAGCTTATAAATTTGCTTATATATATGCAGCTATTGCATACGTAGCCTACGGCCAATTATATCAGACCGAATTGTTCGTTTTTTATTCGTTTCTTGAATTAACGTTTAAATTCTGGTATTCGAGCTGGAACGTAAGTTCGTCCCATGGTAATCTGGTACGTCTGCTTCGCAATCATTGCAGAACTCAATTCAAATATGTAATTGATGTAAACATTGTTGACAAAACTAAGACAAATATTTTGTGTGTTCACAGCGTAAGCGGAAATTCGTCATATACCAAAATACAAAATTTATACATATAGGTTGTTCGGAATTCTTATTTAGACTACTGATAACTTCCAGACCTTGGATATACCCTCGCGAAAAAAATCTATAGGTGCCTATAGGAATGGTCCAATTCCCTCGGCCTAATACGGGGTGTATAAAAAAATGTACACTCTTTCAAATTCAAATTGGCCATAACCTTTTTAATATTCGTTACTCTGCAGTAAGCTGGCCCATTTTATGTCTTATACGCAGACTTGAAATAATGATGCTTAAATTGAACATTTTTCTTTGAGTTGTGTATTTGTTCATACAAATGGAAATTATGCTAGTTCATACAAATGGAAGTTATGCTAGGGGATACTACAGTATTTTACCTCGCCGTTTAATATTCGTATACGATCCTTGAGAAGACGGTCGTACCTACTAGTTATTGTTACTGCGTTACTAGTTTCTGGAAATCGAGATGATCATTGTTAGACGATTTATTATAGACAAAAGAGAAGGTAAAAGTAAACGATTTACAAAGACGCAGAGCTTCAATCATGCAGACACATTTTGGAATTTCTCCAGGAAATGCCGAACTCACAAATATAGTGACAGTTCGAAAACTATAATGCGATAAAAGTGAAAGTTCAACAACACTTCATGTTAAGCTCGTACGTAGACCACCCTCACACACAAGGAATGAATATGTTCCTTGATGATGATTAATTAACAAGGCTGAAAGAAATTGAACAATATCGTCTGCTGCAGATTAATGTGTTCAATATTACAGTATAGTGTTTGTAAATATTAACTTTGAAATACTGTAGATATAAACATCGCACCATTGTTCCCACTTATACCCATATATTCTAAGGAATATTTCATGCAAAATCGCAATTAATGCCAGAAGGGAAATAATCGCGGTGTCAATTACATACCAGCAACAACTGAATATTTTGTGATATAAAGAAACCATCTTTGAATGGTGGGAAGACTTGTATTTTTTCAAATTGAATAAGCTTAATTTAAATTAGGACCTTCCGTTCTGAAAAATATTACTCTCATAGATGATTTTTCCGTGCTAACGTATTGTTCTTCAATTTTCTCTTAGGAGAGTGACAGTGGGCGATATGAATGCGTTGCATACCTTCCCCAAACGCAAAAGATGGAGCGCAGTGTCACAGCCAGCGTTCTTGTCACGGGTATTGTTATGAGTTACAAATATGCTTTAATTTACTCATTTTCCATCAGGGCCCTAATTCGGCCGAGTGGCTTAGCCAGGTGCCCCCGCTCCAATGATCTCCAAAAGTGAACAGTTCTAGAGCTGTGCAAACTCTAGAGCTGTGCAAAATATGCCGGAGCTCCGGCTCCGGCGCACGGCTCCAAACAGTTCTTTCGTTAGTTAGAATCCAGGCAAAAAAGTGCGTGGTTCCATTTTCTGGAATAACAATAAAAACACCTGGCTTCTTTTTTCGTTATGATTTTTCTTCGGAACCCTTCTCAGAATGTACATGAAACATATGTTGTTCTAGAGACCGTAGAAATTTCTCCAGCTAGGAAAGCATGGCTGCCCACTGTTAGGAATCTAAAATATGTTTGTGAAAAAGTCAAGAACCTAGCTACGCCTTTCAATACCGATTATGATACACACTGTATAGTATTACAATTTTCATTAATAATTCACGAAGATAGGCCTACACACAAACGAAATCATGGTTCGTGATGGAGCTTGTATTTCTGATGCTAAATCCTACTCATTTACGTAAACTTTAAGTTCATTTTCTCACCAATTAATTCATTATTCAATATTCATAAATTCCTATTAATAGTTTTCATCAAGATGAATCACAAGCGTTTCACATCATTGGCGTCTGTATATTGTTTTAAAAGATATACAACCACTCGCCTTTGATTCGTGTTTGTACACTTATCGTTTATCAACACGGCCACTCATATTGTATATATTATTTATACAATAGTATGCCATATATCGTTTGTGCATCAGCATGTGTAAACTTGCATTTAATTAATGAGAATCAGAGATTTCATTAGTGATAGTTCAAATCATTGCCACATCACTAGCCTGCGAGCAGGCTCTCTGGGGAAAGAGAGCCTGCAAGCAGAGCCTGCAAGGATCCCTATCATGATTGCGTGCCGCCCTTCAATTATGATGTCACAGGTCAATTAATAACAACCAATCAGCGCAGACCTGAATAAACTACGATGTTGTAAACATAAACCGATTCGTTAATATAGTTTCGTATGATACAGACCGCCACTGAGGCATACTAAAAAAGTTAAAACGGCTCGAGGTTTTACAGTGTAATATATCAAGTTGTACTTTTTATTACAAACTGCATGTGTTTCTCCTGTAAGCACAGTAAGTTTAAAGTTGTATATTACCCGCTAACTAATTCAGTTATTTGGAATTGCTTCGTGCTGCAATATATAATATATACTGTATACAGTCTATATATATAGTAATAATATAACTTACTGAAATTTATGGCTTTGGTGAGACATAGACATATATGATATACCACGGACATTGGACATAATTTAATAATATGTTTAATAGTTCAAATTTTGCAACAAAAAGTGGAATTGCAGTAAACATGCATGTGATAATTATTGTAAACAAAGTGACGAGTAAATTACTGTACATTTTAACGCCGCATACTTATAAATATTAAAATAATAGTCAGTATAACATTGTAAAACAAGCTTAATACACACAATATACACTGAATATTATCAGAATAATTCCCAATATTGTTTCATAAAAGAGAAGCGATATAATGCCTTGTCCCTAGGTTTCGGTTTGCGAATTTGTGCAGTCCTTCTCAAGAATTATTCTTAGCCTAGGAGTCAGACAAGCCAAGGACACAATAAAGCATGCAAGCTTTTAGTATTCGTCTTTATATGAATACTATATTAATTTACGGTAAAAAGTCAACCAGGATCAAAATACATGACACTTTTATCTCTACATTGCCGCAATTCCGAAGCATTGCGTTGCTCGGTTTTACAAACGGGAAGTGCAAGTTTATGGAAGCTTGTCAATCACTTCATATGAATCAGTTATCAACCAATCAGAGCTCTGCGTCCAAATATTGGACGCATGCACGCAATCATCATAGGGATTCTTGCAGACTCTCTTTCCCCAGAGAGCCTGCTCGCAGGCTACCACATCACTTTCTATTCTCTTAACGCTTATGTTACTGTGTGGTGATGAAAGAAACAAATTCCAATAGTCAGAATGTTATCATGAATTTTTCAAGAAAATCCTCAAATTCCCAAATATTAACATATAAAAATTTTTAGGTCCACCAAATGCTCTCGAGGGATTTCACTTAAATGGACAATGTAACAATTTCACTGCGATGCTGAGTTGGCACAGCCTGCCGATATACAATAATTCGGAAACTGTCGTTATTATCGAATGGCGTACAACGTATGGCCCTGTTGACAAATGGACTAGAGTTCCTGGCGAAGTAAACGCCACTGTGGGGCAGGCTAAAGTGGAGAATTTATCACCTTGGTCAAAAGTTCGATTTAGAGCAATAGCGCAAAACAGTTATGGCTATGGTCCTGCTTGTGAACCAACAAAATTTGAAAGCTGTGAGACTTCACCCACTCGTAAGTAGTCAATAATAGCAAGGCACTACCGCATTTGCCTGCTTAAATAAATATGTATTAGTAAAATAATAAATATATCTATAAATCTTAATTAATGCTTTACCTTTAAATTAGATCGATTAGCGTTAAGTTTCACCAATAAAATTAGTACATAATGAGTAGTTACATAAGTCATACATAAATTTTATTTAATGAAGAAAGAGATGAAGAAGAAGAAGAAATTTATTGAGCACTATTAGATTACAAATACATGAATAATTATTGCAGGGTACATAAGTATATAGGTGTAGTGCTGGTCGCCTGTAATAACCATAAAAGGCTATCGGGACAAGCGACCATTAAAAGCAAACATTATACATTTACGAACAATTGGGGAGATTGTAGAATTCCACTGTATATACTGTAAACTGTATACTGTACCACCTCAGGTACTACATCGTCAAGTTATATCATAGACAATCCAATCTATGGTTATATCTTGCCACGTGGCAATTTTTTCTGTGACAATATTCGTGAGGTGAAAGGTGTAACAAGGTTTACTCACTATATAGTGCTGTATATTCAGCCATATAGTATATTCAGCCATAATATATATTCAGCCATAGTAGGCCGCTATATTCAGCGTCGTGAAGAGGTAAAATGTGAGTTGGGATTTGCCTGTACTTTTTACCCAAGTAAACTGGATTTCGACCAGCGGAGGTGTAATTTACACTCGCTGTATGGAAATGGAATATGGCAAATCAGTTGGTCGGGTGATTGGAATTATGACAAATTCGGATGGAAATCTTTAATTAAAATTATTTACACGGTAGCTTATTCAGTGGATAAGTATTTACAGCACAGCCACTGGTTTTCAAAGGGCCGTGTATATACTAAACTATGAAATACAAAATATATATAGACAAATAAATAAAGACTATTTACAAAGTATCAGTAATTATTGGCATCAAATTTATACCTAATCATATACTTTAATCGTTGTTTAAAGGACACGATTGATAGCTTATTGTAATTTTCGATGGTTTCACTTGAGAGTTTCACAATGGGATTCTAGCTCTTCAAGACTCCCTATATTAATTTTTTTAGGTCCTGTTAAATGCCCTGAAGACATCCTTGCCATACGTGGAGCTCCAGGTGTTCTGGATATTAAGTGGAAAGTGAGTCAACATTCAAATATTAGAAAATTATCAGCATCATCTTTTTCGTGTATGTCGGTTTCTATGAGGCTACAAAGTGCATAAGCAATATACTACATGCGCAATTACAAACGAGTCAAACTACCACGCTATGAACTTCCAGACGCATGAAACGTTGATTTTTTTACTTTATTAAGCACGGCAAAAAGCGAGGGGATTATTTACCCCTTTTTTGGCAAACATTTCCTCGAGAATTTTCAGAAAAATGTACTCATAGTTCTATAATCAATCAAATATACGTTTCTGAATAAAACCCGCTCAACCATTTACTTATGAACTTATGACAGGTAACTGATTTTACCTGAATCCAATCGTACGCATAGCCAAGTTTAAAGCTGGATAGACGCACGGAATTACGTCACAATTAAGGTAGCCAATAGCATTCCCTTATTTGTTTAGATCATGTACGCTTGATATTTGTACAATTTCGACTTTTTCAAATTTCCAAATGTTTGGGTGGATAAAAAGTAAACTATTTACCTGTTTAATTCGGGGTTTTTCTTTTTATAATATAAAACAAATAGATAAGATTTTGCCGTTGTCTGTTCAGTTATAGATACACAAAAGTAACCCCCTTTTTTGTTCTTCCCTAAGGAACAGACAACGGCAAAATCTTATCTATTTGTTAAATATAACATGTGGTTCAGTTTCCAGGATAATTAACACCAGTGCAAAACAAAGTCAGAGACCACAACAATGCATAAAATTACATTTTTTGTCATCAGGCAATGACTGAAATTGATTTTAATGGCCCTGGTTTTAACTATGTCGTGAAATACAAACGCCCCAGTGATTCAACGTGGACGAAAACTGTCTTGGATAGAAATAAGGAGCAGTTTACAATTCCAAATGCTGGAACAAATCAGTTGTGGCATTTCACGCTGCAAGCAAACAACAGTGAAGGTCTTGGTCCTATGTGTTTGGAAAGTAGTGCATACTCTGGACAGTCAAGTAAGTTTAGAAATACTGTAGCTATAAATGCGTTTTGGCATGGGAGCCATGAGAATTAACAACACCAGGGGCCAGTTGTTCAAAAGCTGGTTACCTTAACGCTGGGTTAACGTGAAATTCAAAGCATACTTCCCAGCAGCTTGTTTATAAACTTAGAAATATCTTTTCAGAAATCTTGTCAGGATCATAAGAAGTTTATTTTCTAACGTTTTGAAATGAACAGACATACAGAAAAACATAAACCAAAGCAATGGTTTTTAACCCAGGGTTAAGCAATCAATTTTAACCCAGGGTTAGCTCTAACCCACCTTTAAACAACCGGGCCCAGGGCAATAGTTTCTATAAATATAATGTTGCAACTCAGCAGACATCTGGAGCGGGGATCGAAAACAACATTTACATCTACAGTATATTAACAGGGACGTAGCGACCGGGGGGTGTGGGGGGTGTAACCCCCCCCCCCCAACTGTGAAACTCAAGAAAAATCAGGTAAAATTCAAGTTAAAATTTTGACATTTTCAGGTAAAATTTGCGTAATAAAGAAATACCTTTTGTGAAATGATAACCATTTTTGTAAAATACAGTAATTTACATCCAATTTGTTTGCGAATTTGCTTTAGAAAACGCCAGAAATGCAGTCCTAGAGCTTCAAAAATGTAAAAATTTTCTGGGGAAAATTTAGTATGACAGTGCAAATCCAAAACTTAGTATGACAGTGCAAAGCAATCACAAAAAGCTTTGTTAGCATTATTGCACTTCAGGTAAATTTTTAATATTGAAATTCAAATTTCAGGGTAAAATCCTCCGACCCCCCCCCCAACTTCAGATGTTTCGCTACGTCCCTGAGTATATATATCATGCCAACTTGCCAATAATGGTAAAGGTCTATCTGCAGTACTCCTGCTATTTGCGAGGCCTGTTACGTTGCGACAATTACGTGTCTGTCTAATGGATAAAAGTTCACTCGATCATTGCCTTAAAATGCACAACAACGGCAACTCAGAAATAAAGAAAGAATAAATAGAGCTCGATTAGCCTTGGTTTGCTGGTCTATGCATACCTGCATGGAATCAATTTTACCATTTTATAACTTTAACTTTACCATTTTATCAATTTAAGTCACATCATCGATATTGGACTTATATACAGTATGCCAAACATGTTCTTAAACATTGTGTGGCCCTGGTCGTCATTTTAAATGAAGAAATGTTTAATTCAGCTATTATATTTATTATTTTTTGAAATGTATTCTAATCTTTCAGAACCTGGCTTCATATCCGAAATAATAATCAAAGAAATTGGAACGTCAAGCGTCCTATTAACATGGCCTCCACCAATATCTGATCTTTGGAATATAAATGGATACAGGGTAAGTATAGGTATAACCATCAGCATTTTTGGGCGTCTCACTCTTGAAGACTTTTGTGGATGGAAATTTCGAATGTAAATTCTGTACATTTATTTGGACGTAACCAGGAACAGCTGCGAAAAATACAACTATAGGCCCTTGGTGTATATATACACGAACTTGTAGTTAGAGCTCGACAATTGGACTATGTAAATCAGTTGGTTAAAAGAAGAGGAATAATAATTTAATTTGTACAACTAGTATTATATAAATGGTATAAATACATATGAAATAAGGAGTAAAAGTTATGTAAAGGTATATAGTAATTAATGTGCACAGTGGTCAAAGTAGCGTAAGGCTTTTGAGACACAAGTGTGTAAAATTCACACTTTTGGCAAAACTACTCCGCCTTTTGCCACAGAATAAAGATCAGTAACAGAAGGGCCACTCAGCGATGCAACATGTCCTCGTTTTTTATGCAAAAATATGCAGTTTACTGGCCACGAAGGCGGAGAAGCAGCCAGTACAGCGTGTTTATTGGCCAGAAAATGTCAAGGACTGGCTAGGAAAATGGTGGCCAACATGCGTAATGCGACATGCGCAAGGACACAAAAACTTCAAAGCTTCCGACGTAAGTGGCCCTTCTGTGTGGATCTTTATTCTGTGGCGCTGCACCGGAATCTACGGTGGCCGATAAGGGCCACCTCTGCTGCGTGGAAACGCAACTGTGCTGCATGGAAGTGCGAGTTTGTTGCATGGAAATTGACGATGTCTGTACAAATGATTCAATCACAAAGCTTTTCAATGGAATGTTGTTTGTCAGAAGCTGTTATGCACGTCGCATAATATTTATCGCATTTCCTCGCTCTCTACTTAACGTTCGTTCAATTAACACACGGATAACATTAAAATTATATAAACTTTACTATCAAATAATAAGGTAAAAGACTTAAACGTAACTAACGTTGAGTTCGTAACGAAATATCCTCGAATAATCGAATATAATATAGATAATACACGTTCGATCGAAAGAATATGAAACTTGTTGTTTTTATACTAAAATTCCCGTATGTAAAAGCGAATCGCACGTGTTTAGCCTGCGAACAGGTTCAACAGCCTGCAATCAGGCTCAAAGTAAACTCAACAAATGTTATTGAAACTCTGTTCATGTCTCACAGTTTATCACACTCCCGGCGTTGATCACCCCAGATCTGAGTGATCAAATATACTTTAACTATACGATGATAATGAACTTATCTCATCCCCTTTCGTAAAAGTTCTCCAGCTACCGCCGCAGTTCGTCTCGGTCGCTGTCTGGTCGATTCTTCTTCTTTCGGTGCACTTTCAACAGCTGGAAACACATCGTTTTCTGTATCTGGACTCAATTTCAGCTCCAGAGGAATTAAATGTTGTATAGGCCGTCGTAATTCAATCACACGCCCTTTTCCCGAATTTACCACGCAAATCTTTGCTGCCCGAATTACACCGTCCTGACTTTTTATGAGCTCCTTGACTCGTGCAAGCTTCCAAAACATTCGTGGAGTTGAGTCATTCTTCAACACAACTACGTCACCAACGGCTATTGTTTCCTTTTCTGTTCCATGAAGAACGCGCGATGTCTCTCGAAGGCTTAATAGATACTCCGTTCTCCAGCGATTAGTAAATTGGTCCAGTAAACGCCTTTGATTCTTCGCTTTCCTGGTCAATGATCGGTTAGTACTGATAATGTCGAACTGTCGATCACTTGGCATTAATGAGATTTGTCTACCGTAGACTAGTTGAGAAGGTGTAAGGGGGTACGACACTCCTTCCTCATCGTCATAGACATACGTAAGTGGTCTATTATTTATCGTCGTTTCGATTTCCACTAAAAGTGTTCGTAATGACTCGAAGTCCATAGAAGATCGTCCAAGAATCTTTTTAAAACACCTCTTCGTACTCTGTATCATTCGTTCGTAAAATCCTCCTTGCCAGGGTGCCTTTTCTATGATGAATTCCCATTGCACCCCTCTAGATGCCATTTCTCGTTGAATTTCGGAAGATCGCAAGATGTTCTTTACTTCTTTGGATGCACTCTTGAAAGTCTTAGCATTGTCCGTT